CACATAACTAAACCAAGCATTGACTGGCTTACACTAAAGACAACTTGATGTGGGGTCAAAAGTCAAGGTTACTATGGTTGAAGAAGAAAATTGGTATCCCTTAAGGTAACATTACTTTTAGATTACTGACAAACCAGAGTTTGTGGATAGTTTGTATTTAACTTAAGGAAGAAGCCTATTGAATTGGGGATGAGGTCATTGTTCAAGGTCACTATCGCTGAAGGAAAAGTTTGTTAAAATTTAAGTCATCCATAGAGAGGACTATTTGGTGTTAGGTGGATGTACAGTATGCTGTTTATAGTATTTTTTTTTTCATGTTTGATTGCAATGAAGGACTGCATTGGAGAAGGTGAGTGTACTGTTTTAAGAAATGATCGATTGTTTGTTGGGTCAATAACATTATTTTGAAGGCAGTGAGGGGTAAAATATGTAGCCCATGAAGACAGCTAATTTTACACCGTTATTAATTATTGGCCTTCTATAAATTTGGTATGACTGTAGAGGAATCAATTCATAAGATCCTGAAATTTTTGTTTTTTATTACACTTGACAAGTTGTTACAAATTATAAGATATCAAGGTCTTGGAGCGTTTGGTATCTTCAGAGTATTCCTATGACTGGATAAGACCAATGATGTCGATCTAGTGAAACCTGTCTATAAAGGATATTCATTGCACCACAAAAATTGCAACCTTTTATGCACAATTGTTCTTTATAAAGAGGTTAAAATTAGTAGAGGTTAAAATTAGTAGAGACTAATAAATGTATCTTCAGAGCAGATTACCTTTGTAGGGAATTGGCAATTAAAATTGCAATTTACTTGTTACATCGATGTAGAGTGGCAATTGAAAGTTTTAACATAGGATTATCATGAAGCAGACATTTTGTTCATGATTATCCAGAACAGAGATGAGTGTGAAATTTTAACCAAATTAAGGATTTATATAATACATTTTATTTTATCTGAAATTACAGATTTTCCTTTTTTAGCATTTATCATGAATCATTTACATTTGTATGCATTGGATTTACAGGCATGTATGATTAAATTGAGAAAATAAACTATTCTTGACATCTGTCTTCTGTCTTAAAAATTACTTCACTATATTAATTGTCAGTTTCCAAAATTATTGCTGTGTGGGGTTCTAGCTGGACGAGTTGTTTGGGTGGTATTATTTATTTTAAGAACTACACATCTCATCTGGAACTCTTTCTGTTTGCTATTTTGCAGCCAGAATTTTGCCAGTATTCAAACATATTGTTGGTCTTTTTTAAGTAAACCACACCCAAAAAAGATTTCTTTTTATTTGTACACCATCTTGGAGTTGTGGTTTTCAGCTCACCTGGTCCTAAGGACAAGAGAGGTTGTGTTATGGTCCTGCCTTCAGCATACATTGATATGCAGACATGCCAGTAATTATGATTAGTCTGCAGGTCTTGCTAAAAAAAAGACCTCTTAAAACCGGTATACAATTTCTTGGTTTTAAAAATCAAGGCAGCAGAGGCAACAGTTGTATTTATTGATATCATGTTCTATTGATTTGAGTATATATCATGTTTGGAGAGATAATTCTCATCTTCAAATGGGGAACTTCAGTCTCAGAAACTAATGGAGGTATGTAAGTAAGCTCCATATATAGTTGACAAACATTTCACTTGAACATAAGTTTGCTTTTGTTGCATCACACTTCTGAATTTGCGTTTTCCAGCTGAAAAATAGTAGACAAATCATTAGACTTTAGTGAAAATTGGTCAAACTTAAAAATATCAACTGCCTAGATGATGAAACCATCATTTCATGCATTTATTGCCTTTCACTAATACACTTGGAAATACCTCATCCTTGCTAGATGCACTATCCTACTGTTCGTGAAATGTTTATAATCTGTGCATCCTTCCAGTACAACTTGTCATCATAGATCAGTTTGCAGTCATGCATCATCAGACCTCAATTCAAGTTTGACATGGATAAAAAAAAAAAATGGTTCAAGAAAAATTACTAATGATGATTGTTATGCTGTCTCAGGACTTGATATTCACAGAATGGTCAACCTCTTGTATGGCCACCCCTTCTCACAGGAAAGTGTCTTTTTCAGTAGTACATGAACAGTGTACATAGTAAGAAAGCTGTTTGTGACTTCCAAAATATGTAATATCTTCAGTTACAAGTAACATTAATTATTAAAGGGTTCTTCGGGTCTTTAAAAAAAACTCATTTCAAACGAACATGCAATAGCAGTATGTGATTCTTAAGCATGTAATGTGAGTCGGGTATTGGCACATGAATTACAAAACCATTTAAAAATGTCATTTAAATCTTAGTACAGACATAACATGGCATTTTAAACATTCTCTTTTCATTGACTCCATTCTTCCATGGCTGCAGAATATTTTTCTTATCAATTACAATGATATCTGAGTATTTCCAGCATCAAAATTTTCAGTAAGAACTCGAACTCTTTCCCCTTTGTCATTATGTCAAATAACTTTCTTTACTAAAGTAACCAATTTTCTGTTTACAAGATGATGTTTTAAAGTTTTGGGATGATTTATTCCTGTGTTGCTGATTGTAAAGTACTATAATTTAATCATGCAGACAAAACTTTGTATAGTTGATGAAATGCATTGTTTATAAAATAAGCAAGTCACAAATGTTTTTTCACTCTTTTTCTGGTACCATGTTTGGTTCATCGTTAATTTCTCTTTGTGAATCCACAAATGTGTATTTAGACTATAATACAATCTTAACAACTTCAAAATCGTTAAAGAGAAGAACTCTACAACTGTGTAAAGCTGAAAATGATCTTGACCACAGTGGTACATATTAGTATATACATTAGTCAACACTTCTTTCAGTATTAGAAACCTACATGGATAGAGATAATTGAATTTCTTACTGCACGAGTTAAATTTGTCTTTTGTGGCCTATAAAGCTGGCCTCATGCCACATTAGCGGAATGGCTGTTAATGAGAGTTAAATTCGTACACAAACAAGGTAAAGAAAAAATGCACTGAGTTGAGTAGAGAAGGTGGCTGGTGGTGATGGTGTTAAAAATGGGGAATAATGAATTTCATTTTAGTAAAAAGTTGTTCCTCTGTACCGGTAATTGAAATCTTTGTTATAATTTATTTTGAATATTTCACACGAGATGCCTAAGCTCTCTACTCATTGGTTTGGGAATTTCTTGTAGGAATATGTATAATTACTAACCATTCAGTGTTTGCTTTTGTAGAAGTTAAAAGGGCAGACATCATTTTTTAAAAGGATGCAGTAGAGAGGGTTCAAACAACCAGTCTTCTGCATTCTACTATTGGTTATTTCTCATCCACAGAAATGGTGGGAAATAGGTTGATTATTTATTTCCAACAAGCAAATTTCTGTAAGAGGAAACTGTCAAGATGGGAATTGTAGCATCAGCTTGAAAAGCTATCAGATCCATAGATGGGGCAGTTTCCATGGATCTTCAGAACACATATTCCACATCCAGCTCATTCCTACACATAAATACTTCCAATAACATAAATAACTTCCAATAAGACGAGAGGAACATTTTATTAATGCTACTTTTAAATGAAGATATTAACTGCTTTAAGTTGTATGTAGCTTTCCTACTATATACACATATACATAACATCTCAAAAATGAAGTACCCATCTTGAAAGGCCACCCATCTTTTAAGGACACTTACCAGGTGCAGAAGGGGTGGCTGTATAAGAATAGAACCACTGTGTTCCTAGCACCCACTCATTGCAATAGCAGATTTTCTGCACTTTGAGTCAAGATTTTGTTCTGTCTTAACAAAGTTACAGGACTGCCCTTTAGACAAAGGTCAGTGCATTGGCCCAGATCCTTCTTTGATGGATCTTGTTAAGTACTTCAAACTTCAGAGACCTGTGTTTCACTTGGTATCAAGATTGAATTTCTTGTTTTGTGGGTGTTAATTAATGACCCTTATTTAACCATTGAGCAGATTCATTAAAAAATCTTGCATTTTAAGCCATTTGTTTTCTAGTTCTAGTGTCAGCATGGTAAAGCAACTCCACATTTTATATTCTGAGGGATGATCTGGTTCAGTGGGCATTGTGCTTCCTTGCTTGTGTCAAAGAAAAACCATCTTACATCACTACCTTCATCCTTGATAGAGAACCAAGCTAATTTGCATATGTGCTGGGGACAAACAAGTGTTATGTATATGTAATTTAATTATTTTTTTCTTGGTTTAAATTTTTTATTCCATTACTTTGTTTACTGGGTTTGACAATTTTCCAGAAATTCAGTTCAGTTCTGTTTGACCTGACTGTTATAATAAATGAAACACTGAATCTAGTATCTGACCTTGATTCAGAAACAATGGCAGATCTGGTAAACAACTTTTTATTTTCTTTTTAATTCTTTCCCAGAGTAAGTAGGATTGATTTCAATTAAGGGCATACTAGGAGTATATGATGTAAGGCATAAAAAAAACAAAACTTTTCTTTGTTCTGGAAGGGTGATCATGTGACCCTCATACAGGAATTTGTTTTGCATCTTAAATTAGATTATAACTTTTTTCTGGATAGAATTTGGGTGCCAACCCATTGACACTTAAATGTGTTTTGTTGTGACCAGTTTGAGTTGAAATTCTGTTTTATGGACTTGTTATTTTCCCTGGAAATATATAAGTGCATATATAGAATTCTTGGACAAAAATGTTCATTCAAATTTATTTGGAATTCAAAACTGGATTAATATTTTCTGATTTAACAAGCAACTGCCAACGCATGTGTTGAAGATTGCAACAAAGGTCATCACCTTCTATTTTGGTTTCATCGGGAGTCAAACTCAGATTCATTTAAAACTTTTTATTAATAGGACTTTTATTTTTTAATTCTTGAATTAATTTTGGATTTATTTCGTAAAACCATAACTTATTATTCTCATTTTCACCTTGGTTTTCTAAGATAATAAATTATTTCTTAAATTTTTTATCAAAGTTTATTGTCTTCACTCTTTTTTAACCGCTCTGGTGACCAAGTGGTTAGAGCATCCGCCTCTGATGTGGGAGGTCGTGGGTTCGATCCTCGGTCAAGTCATACCAAAGACTTAAAAAATTATACTTATAGCTGCCTCACTTGACTCTCGGCATTAAAAGGCAAGTGTTAGAACTGGTCGGCCTGTTATCAGGATAATGTGACTGGGGAATCATGCTTCATGTTTGCAACATGATGCCCCAGTGCTAGACATCACTATAAACTGCCGCAATGCGCTACGTTAAAAATCATAATCACATCACATCACTCCTTTCTTCTTACTTTTTGTAAGAATCTAAACACGTAACACTGGATAGATTCCTTTGTGAAGTTGGGGTGCTAGATTTCTATTTAGCAGTTGCAAAGGGAATAAGAAATATCTGAAAGTTGTTTTTTTCCTCCCTTTAGGGGGAATGATGGCATATCAGCATCCACCATCTCATAATGGAATTTACTCAAACCATCAAGAGAGACCACTTGTAAGAATAAAAGACCATGAAGTTATGGCTATTGCACTTTTGTTGTGCCTATCTCGTGGCAATCATACTTGACCCTCTCGTGTGTCTTATAATGTTATAGGGTTTAACGCCATTTTTCAGCACAAGATAGACTATACATGGCAGCCAGTATTAATGGTGGAGGAAGACCCCGGGAAGAACCACCGACCCACGAGAAGCTACTGGCAAGCTTTCTCACTTACCCACGTTAGCAGAGTCTGGACTCAAACTCACAAAGACAGGTAAGATGGCAATGATCCGTAACGGTCAGCACTTTAGACCACTCTGGGCCCCATTGTCTTATAATTGTCAAACCAGGGCCAAGGTATTTTCTCTTAGGTACAATTGACCCAGACTGCTGCTTACAATAGATGTTGATAGGCTGAGGCTACAAATCAAGTACAGAAAGACCTGTCTTATGAGACCACTGCCATGAGAGCCACCTATCTCGAGATACCAGGTTCTCCTTGCACATATTTGTTGGTTAGTAGTGTTATGACCTGTCATGAGAGACCACCAGCCTTAAGAGAGCATTATTTTTTAGCAGAAAGGCTGGTCTTTCAAGACAGGTTCACCAGATAATTATGATATCTAGTTATGTCCAGAAAGAAAGTGCTGACCTCACCAAAACTATAGCTACCACAATGAATATATTGAAAATCTTTTTAACAATTCTCATGAATGAATAGTTCCATCATCATGAGGTTTACACCAAAAGTATTCTAATATGTCCTAAACATCTGCAGCAGTGGCCAATCTCAAAATCTTGTTAGTGAAGAATATCTGAGATGGTTTCAGTATTTGGCACTTAAAAAGAAAGGTCCGATCTTGCATGACTGTAAATTCTCTTTGGACAGTAGATCATTAGTCCCAACAAAGAAACTCTTTGTTTCCTTTAGCCAGAAAAATAGAAGTTGGAAGTGAAAAATACATTGGCCACAGAAGTAAAAAGAGAACCATATGAAAAATTTGAGGAAAATTTGTTTTTGCCTTCAGAGTGGAAGGGGGGCCCCCGAGTGGTCTAAAGCGCTGTCCGTTACGGATCACTGCCATCTCACCTCTGTCTGCGTGTGTTCGAGTCTAGGATTCGGCTAATGTAGATATGTGAGAAAGCTTGCCAGTAGCTTCTCGTGGGTCGGTGATTTCCCGGTTTCTTCCTCCACCATTAATACTGGCCGCCATGAATAGCCTATCGTGTGCTGAAAAATGGCGTTAAGCCCAACAAGAAACAAACAAACAATCAGAGTGGAAGTTATATATGCTTTTGTGCATTGGAGGAATGATACATAATAATTTATCAAAGAGGTCCAAGAACTGGTTATGCATTAGTCTGGTTGCCTCAAACTTCTGCTACAATATTAAATATTTAGACAGTTGGGGTGAAAGGTTAGATTACATTACCTGTTATAAAAGTTGAAATTTGCCAAACCTGCATCATAACAGCATAAGGTAGCCACTTGCCACTGTGATAACAAAGCTAAAAAAAAAACAACATTGCAATGAGTTCTGCATGCAATAAATATTTGCCATCTCACACGTAGCAATCAAAACCATCATAACTGTCCAAATTTTGTGGGCATGGAGATGTCAGACTTACCTCAGACTAATAGTTTCGCTCCTTACAAGGTTAAGAAGGCATTGTGGAAGTTTGTTCCATTTATTGAAATAGTGGTCATTCTCTGAGACCTGCTCAAGTTCTGTTATATTTATACCAGTTTTTTCAATAATATTGACATGTCAGTGTCTATAAATTTTGTGCACAGGGTATAAGGGTACACCATCTTCATTCCTTTAGTAACATCATGAAACATCATTGTCTATGCTTTATAACCCCATACTAGATTCAACTAATATAAAATTTAAGAAAAAATTGTAAAAAAAAAAATGATTAATATAATACAGATGACACAGAGGAACTTTATGTATGTAATGCACATTTTGCAGTCATTGATACAGGAATGTTCAAAAGAGAAATAAGTGCATGGATTTTAATGGCTAAAAATGGGCACACACATTAGGGAATCTTATATTTCAAATTACATTTCCAGCCTTCTCATCTTTCATAAATAAAGGGATTAATTTCAGAACTACATTACCTGGGTCAATGCAATAATAAAGAATGTTGTAAATGAAAACGTTAGAAGTATCAACTTACTACAAAGGTTAAAGGTTCCACTATATTCCCTGTTACATTTACCAGCATATTAAACTAAGCCATCTTCAAAAGTTTAAATAAATCCACTTGTAGATAAAGAGCTCTCAGACCTCTGATGATGGTTGGTTGTTTACTTGTAAGAAGGACAATGCAATAAAACAAGGCAACGACTTTGACAAAAATTATTTATACATAATACCCATTTTCATTTCCACTGAAACCCACTGTACAGGTATGTTCTACATATCCAGTGATGTAATAACTTGGTTGCTTCAAACATGCTAGACATTGGCTTATAGAATGCAAGAATGAATAAAAAAAATGGAAGTTTTTGTCAGAAAGAAAGAAAATGTATGGGCAACACAAATCTAATGGAGTGGACCGATCTGTTAATGAAGACTAAAAATAATTGCCAACACATAAAACAGATGTAGGAGTCTTTGGTATGCAGAATTATCAGTGTGAAGACATTTAAATGCAATCACTGTAGGCAAATTGTGTGTGAGAGAGAGATTTGGCTTTTTAACATAACTTTTAAAAAAAATTGATGTCATCAAATAACGCATCAAAAAATTGTCATAATTAAAAAGTAGTGTTTGACTCATAATTTGGTCAGCCAAGATGATTTTATAAACTTTCCTATCAAGTTTTATAGTATTTGGACAAAAAATGTTTGTTCTAGATCGTGTGAGGCACCAAACTTGACCAGTCAAAGATATACTGCCTGGGTGCAAAAATATTATATGAATTTCCACACTTGGAAAATAGGGATGTGTGACAACTCGAACATATTTTAGTTTAGAAGTCTTGTATATAAAAATGCACCCTGTGTAGAATATACTTTATATTATGGCATCAAGATAAACTTAAGACAACGCAAAAATTTACATAGAATATTTATTTGATCAAGATACTTGTCCATTCCAAAGTATGCAGCTGCAATACAAAAGGATGCTTATTTATAACAGAAAAATGTAATGGATGCATTATGCTATTTATCTGATTTCGTCACATTTATGTATGTGCAAACTTTTCTCCATTTCTGGAGGGTTGTTAGCTTTAGTCACTGGCTGAGCTGAAGATGACTGATGTTGTTATAGGGTTTAATGCCATTTTCCAGCACAAGATAGGCTATACATGGCGGCCAGTATTAATGGTGGAGGAAGAACCCTGCAAAACCCCGGGAAGAACTACCGACTCACGAGAAGCTACTGGCAGGCTTTCTCACTTACCCATGTTAGCAGAGTCTGGACTCGAACTCGCGCAGACAGAGGTCAGATGGCAGTGATCCGTAACGGACAGTGCTTTAAACCATTCAGCCACTCGGGGCCCAAAAGATGACTGAATGTGCATAATGAAGAAAGTAGAGTATGAAGTGAGTTTCTCCCAAATCTACAAATGCTTAAGAGTAGCATTTAGTGAAAACAAAAAGAGATTCAGAAATAGTGAATTTTTGAAAATTGTGAAAAATACATTGATATTACTGTACTGTATTATATGAAAATTACAAACGAAAACACATTATTAATACTCTATACATATATAAATATATTTGCAGCCCTATTTGATGATATACACAAACTTCGCTTGTACTTTTGTCAACATATGATGCAGTGGCAGACTTCGTTAACTGGTCTATACTCAATTTGTTTTCAAGAGCTCGGGTTCCTTGTCTGTTGGTTCTCTGACATTACTTTCACTATTGCTGCACTTGAGAATCTTCCACAGGAAAAGTTTTACATTATCTAAGAGTCGGAGAACACTTTCTTTACCCAAATTTAGCATCATCTCAAACTGAGAACGGCAGGTTTAGCTAGAAAACTCCAAAATATTGCTTCAGCATAGGTACCTTGTAAGTCTTCATTTGATGAATTAATGTATTCCAGAGCGGAAATCCGCTCTAAATTTTCACAATAGCTATGTGCTTTTGCTAGCGATGCACGTGATATTGTCACTGATATCATGTCCACTATGCAAAAAGCATAATAAACACAAATTTTTGATGGCTTAATGCAATGTCAGTTTTTGGTGTGTTCCAAACTGAGCTTCACTTTTTGGGGAATAAATTTCTTTTTCCTTGGAAGTGAAGACAATTTAACAGTAGCTCATTGACAAATGGACATAAATTCAGAAGAAGTGCTGTCGAAGAAACAATTTAAAAGACTATGGAATAACAGAAACCAGTGAAAATGAAGAACAAAACTTCGAAATAGAATCTAGATTTATTCCCAGGATCTTAATAAAACTGCACCCAACAGAACAAATTCATCAAACTTTATCAAAATCCGATGCTTCAGAATGTCCATGTTGCTGGAACAAACATTTGAACATGCGCCTCTTCAAGTGAACAGTTCAAGCAGACATCCGTAAAGTACCATGTATAAAAATCTTTAAATATTTCACAAATTCAT